TTGTGTTTTTGAAAACATTGCATAGAATATGCAATTTTGTGAAAATATTATATTCTTAGTTTTTGAACTTAACAATAATCATATACATACTTTATTAAGTCTATATAATCATTGTGCAAAGTTTCAAAACATGGTTTAACCAAAATATCAAAAATCACATGTTTCCATTTTCGTGTTTTGGACTATTTTGCAAAATGATGATTTTTCACAAATGGGAAATGTAATTTGAAAAATTCTTTTTGTAACATGTTTGTTTTCATGTTTATATACATTTCCTAAAGTTTCATTATTTTTGGACTTCATTTGTTATTTTTAATATATTTTCAAAAGTCTCAAAAATCTGTTTTAATATCAGTTTTCTGCTGTGTCAGTCTTCGGTCGACCGCACCGGTCGACCGCTCATTTGTTCTTTCGTCAGCATGCAGTAGAGAGTTGGTCTTTAGTGTTTGTTTAAGTTTGGTTTAAGAAGCTTTTAAGCAATTGAGGGTTTGAGTTTGTGAATTCAATTTCACAAGAGCAAGTGGAGATCATCCTTTGGTGTTTGAGCATTCACTCTTCTCCTACTCTCTTGTCATCTTTAGAGAAGTGTTTCTAAACTCAATCTAGCTTTACATTTATATATAATTGTTTGATTATCATTTTATTAAGCTAGAATTTATTTGAGTTTAGTTTGATTTGATTTACTCTTTGTTTACACACACAACCATTGAGCTTATTGTATTTGCATACATTATATAATTAGGTTGTGGGATAGTGTGACATTGAGTTGAGCCTAATTGAGTTCTCACCTTGTTAGAGAGAACAATCATTTGTTATATTGTGCTTATTGTGAGATTCACTTTGTAATACACTTGTACACCGAGTGAGGAGTGTGTGGTGAGAGTCGGGGATCGTCCCAAGAGGAGTGGCGTCGGTTGACGAGCCTAGGGAGAGGTTGTAACCGAGCACTTGAGGAGGAGGACACGGGCTAGGACCAACACTTAGTGTGTGAGGTGTGATTGCATAGTGATTGTATTGTGAGGTGTAAACGTTATTCGGGTGAGCGTAGAAAACCCGGTTGTGATAGTGGATTTCTCCCCGGGAGTGGGGAGCGAAGACGTAGGACTGAAGGTCCGAACTCCGTGATCATTTGAGTGTGTTTGAGTTTGTCATTGGCGTATTTACTTTTGCATTTATCTTATATCGCCAATTGTGCTTTGCTCATTTATTTCATCCACTATCTAGTTCTTTTTGTTTACCCTTGTGTTAGTTTATATATCCTTGCACATATATTGCATATATCTCTTTGTTAGGATATATCTCGTTGTTCATATTGTTTATCCTAGCTCATATATTATCATATTCATACTTGCTAGGATAACTTGTTAGTTAATTTTAATTGGCATATAATCGGATTAGATTAGCATAAGACCCTAATCACCCCCCTCTAGGGTATAACAATGGTCATTTTCTTCTTCCACAAAATCATGATTCATCGTTACTTCTTTTCCTTTTTGACTTGATTCAGCAAGTTGTAGTTCTCTAAATTTGGTGTCTATCTATTTTTTAACAACCTCACATTCATGGTTGTTTTGAGTAGCAAGATCAGCAACCTCACTAAATGCAAGACATAGCTCGCGATAGCATAGTTGTTCAGGTTTGACAACCCAAGTATTAAATTTAACTTTCATCTTCGAGTGGGATCGCCTCACATCCTTTCTCCACCTTCTCAGAATGTACTTTTCCGAAAGAAAACTGACTTCGTGACGGATAAGAATGGTAAGGGCATGTGTAATAGCCCAGGAAAAAAAACATAAAAAATGATGATAATATATAAAAAAATAAAATGATATAAAATAGAAAAAAAAAGAGAGAGAGAAGCTTACAGCTTGAGCTGGCTTATTTAGAGCCTCTTGGAGAGTCCCAAAATGATGTGTTCATTTCTCCTTTAAGCCATGAAACCATCCCTATGATCCTAGCAACTCTGAGCTCGTTAGCCTCTGTCTCCCACCTTCTCTTTTTCCATGAAACCATCCCTATGATCCTAGCAACTCTGAGCTCGTTAGCCTCTGTCTCCCACCTTCTCTTTTTAAGCTGCTAACTTAGGAGATGGAAGAATGAAACAGAAAAAAAAGCCTCTGTCTCCCACCTTCTCTTTTTAAGCTGCTAACTTAGGAGATGGAAGAATGAAACAGAAAAAAAATCAACGAAAACCCACGGAAAAAAAGAGAAGAAGAAGAAGAGGAAGGAACGTGATCAACATCCCCAAGTTCAAAATCAGTAAGGTATAAGTCAATCCTCATGTTTGATCTAAAAATTTCTTAGTTTAGAAAAGTAAAATTTGTTATAGAGATCTTAGTAAATCAAATTAAAATAAAATGAATGAGGAAGTTAACTTGTTATGAATGTGAAATAAAGGAATCTAGGGTTTACAAAAGGAATTTTCTTATGTATTTAGGATACATGAAACAAATTAGAAAAAAAAAAGAAAGAAAAATAGACTAACCCTAGATCCGGCAAGGACTCGTCGTCGGCCGGTCTTGGTCGTCGGCGGTTTCCTCGTCGCTGTTCTGCAGCCATGGCGGAGAGAAAGAGAGGGAGAGAGAGAGAGAGAGAGAGAGAGAGAGAGAGAGAGAGGGAGAGAGGAGAAGAAGAAAACCAAAAGGAAAAAAAAGGAGAAAGCAGAGGAAGAAAGAAAGAGGAACAGGAAAAAAAAGAAAGAAGAAGAAGAAAGAAACGAAAGAAGGGAGGAGGAAGATGATCTGTTGAAATGATATAAGGAGAGGAAAATTACCTTAAGCCCCTGGACTATGTAAAAGTTTCTAACCGACCTTAGTAAAATGAGTTATGGTTGAAATTGGCAAGAAAATATCTATTAAGCCCCTGTCTTTTGTTCAGTTGTAAACAAGTCCAATCTGATGAATAAACAATAAAAATTTCAGACTTGATAAGTTCCCTATAACCCCTATATTATTATAAATTACTAAAAAGTCAAAAAGCTAGTGTATGAGAATTATAAAATTTTGATGAATTACCAGAGATAGCAACAAATTCATATGCACTGCATAATTTAATTATTATTGATTATATTTGAAATTATTAGGCTCTAGTTATGAATTGATTTACCTATAATATATGTTTGTTCTGAATTAATAATTAGTCCTATATCTTACATTATAGGTTCTGGTTGATATTCGGGAGAATAATAGTTTGAGAAAGTCATGACCACTAGAGGTGAGTTCATTTCTCACTAGTATTTTTATAATATGAAATTGCATGAGTTTTATATTTGATTTATCTTGTGATGAAATAAATAAATAAATAATATGTCTTTTTATGTATATTAAAGATTTGACCTATGTCTATTATGGTCCATCCTATAATACGATGTTAGCCTCGTACAATATATGAAAAGCAAATTCGATTCCTATATAAATATGAAAAATAAATTTGGCTCTCACGCAATTTTCAAATACTTGTGGACTTTGTTTTATCTAAAAGTTTTGATAAAGTATTTGGAACGTATTTCAACAGTTTAACGGATTCAAAGATTTTTCCGTGACTTAGTATCTAATAAAAGAAAAAGTAAATATCCGTAAACTGTTTTAACAGAAATGAGAAATATCTGCAAATTCTGATATGCAAAGTATTTCTCATTTGACATGTGATCTCGATGTTTTCAAACCCTCAAATAGTCCACTATGGATTGGTTCTGCCTGCCATATGGTGAATGCACCTTTATTTGGCCCTTCTGTATTGGCCTTGGCCCTTCTGTATTAGCCTTTCTGAAATCTGTTCTGGCCCCTCTGTATTTGGTCAGTAGCCTATGGCAGTGTTAGGTGCATTCGGTTCCTAGGAATTATCTGTTATCTAATACGGTTTACGCATTCCCTTGTTACTGGGCTAAAATTCGTAGCCTTAGTGTGACCTATGGGGTGACTTTTACATTTATGAAATACTCATCGAGAAATAAGATTCTGATAATTGACTGTGAAATTAAGAAAACAACAATTCTCTGATTTTGTACAAATTAGTTGTTCTTTTCCTTCTTAATGTTTACCTTGATTCAAAAAGGGTTTAATTTCAAGAAATTTCACAGTTTATTCAGTTGCACATGAGAAAGGAAATATAATTGTTGTTTTCTTCTTAAAAATGATAATATTATGATATTTGGATCATATTCTGCTATCTGTGAATTTCTCATGCAAAACTTGAAATTTGTTAATTTCTGAGAACTATTCTTATTACTATTTTGTTAGTTATCTAGGAACTCTAGTGGGAAATGTTCTCACTGAGCGCTAGCTCATTCCGTTATTTTTAAATTTTTTTCAGATCCGACGTAGCTTCATAATAGCCGAACTTTTGGTTTGAGCTTTTGGCTGAGAGGCGTTATATGGAGAGCCTCTTCTTGTTGATGTTACATTCAGCATATTTTATTTTGTTTTGTAAAAATGCTTATAACAGTGAGTTTGTGGGCTGTAAGTACCGATCATATATATATAGTTGCTCTGATTTCTATCATCAGCAGGTTTCTGTAAGTACCGATCATATATATATAGTTGCTCTGATTTCTATCATCAGCAGGTTTATGAATATTTTGAAAATAAACTATTATCATCAGCAGGTTTATGAATATTTTGAAAATAAACTATGTGATATGAATTGCCAGGCTTGACTCATGCATAAGACTTGGCTCGTGCACCGGTCGCTGCTGTCGCATACCCCGTATTTTATGAATTTCCGCTTCAGATTTTGGGGCGTGACAGTAGGGTGGTATCAGAGCTTAGGTTTCGACGTTAGAAACCTTGTAGGGCACGCTATCATAGAGTATATGCGCTAGATGAGTGTTAACGTATGGATCAATTATGTGATATATATATGTATGTATACATATACATGTATGCATATAAATATTTTATAGTAAAACCTTGTAGGTTCATCAAGGAGTGCTTAGATGTTTATTTTATTTCACTTTGTCCTTTTTCTTCAGTAAGCTGATGGATGGTTCCCCTTTTTGTAGGATGGCGGGAACCAATTCATCTTCCAGTTCGTCATCTACCGTGTCCAGCCCTATGATTTCCGTAGATAGCTCGTGGGAACCCAGCCTAAGAGACTGGGGATACACTTCCGATGAAACTGATCCGAACTTGATAATGACTAATCATATGACCCCAGACTCACCGGAGGTTGAACCTGTAGAAGTTGTTATGATAGATTCATCCGAGTCTGAGCTTGAACATGCTGAGGATGAGGATCTCGTGGTAGAAGTTGTTCCAATTGAGTCATCACCTTCAGAAATTATTATGATTTCATCCGACCTCTCTGACATGGAGTCCCTTGTAGCCCAGATTCCTAGTGATGACCAGAGACTTGCCCCCACTGAGGGTGAGTCGAGTAGCCTAGGCATTGGTCCAGATCTCGACCTTGAAGGATGGGGGACTAGTGGCATAGATCCAGATCCAATGTTCGATTCTGTTGATAGCCAAGACTCAGAGGAGACTGAACCAACTGAGGAGAAGTCTAGTTCCAGCAGCTCCTCTTCCTCAGGGAAATAGAGCATAACTGTTAGGACAATTTTGTAATATTAGTATATGGGTTTTCATAGTTACTCTTTTGGTTTATGCAGGACATTTTTGGTAGAAAATATGTATATATAAACCCATATATTCAGATATGTGTATGAACTAAAAAGTTAAATATTAATAATATACTTTTGGTTTGTAAATACTGACTTGTGTTATTACGTTGAGTAATGATTGAGTTCCTAATTACTTAAATTGCATATATGTGACTGACTTAGGAATTTCTCCTTGTATAATAGTTGACTGAAATATTTTATTATTTATAGGAAGCTATGACTTCAGGTAATGAGCAAACCCCTCCTAACGGAGTAGGGATCTAAATCAGACGATAGGTGAAATGATGAGATCTAGAATTGCTCGTGCATCCACCTCCGGAAACCCAATAGATAACAATGCATTGATGGATCTATTACAAGCGGTGACATCTATAGTTACCAGACAACAAGATGAAATTGATCGTAATCGGACGAATGGTCAAAACGAGGAGCACCCAAAATTAAGAAGTGGCATGGGAGAATTCAAGAAACTATCTCAACCCAATTTTGAGGGAACAACTAATCCTATGATTGCTGAGCATTGGATCACAGAAATGGAGAAGGTCTTCACATACATGAAATGCCCTGAAGAGGAGAAGGTTGATTATGCAGTATATATGTTAAAAGACCGCGCTTACGGGTGGTGGCAAATGCAGGTCAGGACGTTGGGAGAGAAAGCATACAAGTTATCATGGGAGGAGTTTAAAAAGATTTTTTATGAAAAGTATTTTCCTTCAACTGTTCGCAAACAAAAAGAACATGAGTTTCGAAAATTGGAGCAAGGTGACAAGACGGTAGCTGAATATGAAGAAGAGTTCACTTATCTATCAAAGTTTGACATTCACTTGTTGGGTAATGAGGAAGATAGAGCTCGTCGCTTCGAGGAAGGGCTTCGACCGGACATCCGAAAGACGGTCAGTGCATTTGAACTCCCTACATATGGAGAAGTGTTAAAGAAGGCCTTGTTAATTGAGAAAAATGAAATTGATACAAAGCCAAAGAACGAGACGAGCAGCTCCTACCCAAAGAAGCGGTTCTGGCAGGATAATCGCGGTGGAAGAAATAAGAATTGGAGAAACAAAAAGCAAAATTTTGGACGCAGAGAGGAGCAATTTCCAAATCAGAAAACTTTAAGATGTGATGTTTGTCATAAGCTTGGGCATGAAGCGAAAAGTTGTTGGAGAAATACTGGGGCTTGTTTGAGATGTGGTCAGAAAGATCACAAGATAGCAAATTGTCCCCTACAACAACCATCTCGGAATAATTTCCAGACTGGCCAGTCCAGTGGTGGGAATCGGTATCCTCAAGCTAAGGCCCGAGTTTATTCTCTAACTGAGAAGGAAGCAGAAGCAAACCAGGATGTGGTGACAAGTACGCTAACTTTTGCATCAGTTCCTGCTCGAGTACTATTTGATTCTGGTGCATCGCATTCCTTTATTGCTGCACAGTTTGTTAAGAGAAACAAATTTCCATGTGATACCCTACAACAAGAATTGCTTGTTAATACACCTGGAGGTAGCATATTAGTATCAAATCAAGGCTGTAGGGTGGCTCGGGCTTGGCCGAGCCACCCATGGGTGGCTCGGCTTTGGCCGAGCCCCCCTTAGGGTTTTGGGTTTTGTTGTTTTGTCCGGTTTCATCCGTGATTCGGTTGTGCGGTTGATTTGTCTGGATTCGATTTGTTGACCTGATTTGGCAGTCGATCCGAATCCTGATTTGGCAGTAAATCCACTTCTGAGTTCGATTCCGAAACCGATCTTGATTCGATCATGATTCGTCCGAGTCCGCTCTTGTTTGAATGACTCATTGATTCCCCGAACCGTTGGCTTGATTCTACGCTCGAATGGATGTATTCCGTTGCTTGCGTGCGATTCGTCAACCTCGTCGCCTCGTTGGTTCGTCGGTTTGTGCCGAGCTATGCTAAGGGACCTCTAAGCAATTTTATATGCCTACAGATACCCCCTCCAAAGTATTTCAGCCTCGTTCTTTTATAGAAGAGTCTGGAATACTTTGGATATGATTGTCCCAACCTATAATCGGTGTAACGGGACCTTGGAATGGCTTCCGTTCTTGATTCCTTCAATCCTCCAGGCTATTCGGTGCTTTGTCGAATGTCTGTAAGAGTTCCGGTGCTGCATTTATTGTCTGACCGTTGTCAGAATTTTAAACTTGAAGTCGATTCCTGATTTTCTAATCTTTAGCTCGTGTTTGTTGGTTCAACATAGAACTGACCATCGATTGTTGGCGTTGAGTTCTCATTTGCGACGCGTTGTCCGGCGTAGTGTTGTTGAGTTATCCTTAAGAATATTTATAAAAAAATATTCTCCAGGCAGTAATTAGGCTCAAAAAATCTTCTGATCTTTCTGAACATGTGGGAGAGGCAAGAATAAACCAAGGACTGAACTCTCGGTTGATTTGAAGTTGTTTCGATGCTCGATTCAGCTTCAATTTGAATTCTGGTTCAAACCAGGTCTGGTCCGGTTCAACTTGGTCTGGTCCGGTTCAACTAGGCTTGGTTCAACATTATAAAAAGGGGTCTTTTTCTTTTCTTTTCCTCCTCCTAGGGCCGGCCACCCCCATGCCCTAATTTTTGCTTTTCTCTTCCTTCTTGCATCCTTTCTCCCTCAAAACTTCATATTTGCATTAGATCTAGTCTTCCTTTGGATCTTTGACTGAGAAATCCCTCAAAACTTCCATATTTAGAATTTCTCTCAGGCCCCTCGAGCGCGTGGTCCGAGCCTCTTTCAAGATCTGATTTTTATTGGATCCACGAGCTTTCCCTCAGGTAAATCCTCAACCATTTTAGCATTTTTTATGCTTAATTCAATTTATGAATTTGTGGGGTCGCATGCGAGGGTTAGGATTAAGATTTGGCGCCTCGAGCTCACCTCTCAGGGGGGAGAATTGCAAAAAAGAGGAACTTTTTCTTAGATCTGATCCCTTAACTTATTTTGCAGGTCTCCATGTCTCGTATTGCGAGGGGTCAATCCTCTACCGCGTCGGTTGATGGCGCGCCTCCCTCTTATGCTGGTGAGCTAATTTTTTGGAAATTTACAAATTAGTCTATTTTTTCTTGGAAATTTGCAAATTGGTCCTTTTCACCCCATTTTGTTCTCCTTGGCGAGGCAATCGGGAAGAGCCTTGATTCTCCTTGGCGAGGATCGACGCTTTAAAGATATGTTTTGCTTGGTCAAAACCATATCTCAAAATCAATAAAGGGGGCGTTTTGACTCTGCATTGTGCCTTATAAGGCAGGGATATATTGTCGATATACCCTATCTTATAAGTGCATAATGTGGCCAAATCGTCTCACCCTTTATAAGGGAACGACTCTATCTTACCCATTCGTAAGATGAGTTCAATTTCCTTTTATAACTGGAATTAACGAATGTTTCATTGCTTGTTTTCAGTTGAATATCCTTCTGGGGCGTTCTCATCTCACGCAGTGTACGGGCGTCGTGGCGAGTACTATTCGACTTCCGACGATTTTTCCCCTATCCCAGTCACTCCTTGGTTTGCTTCGGGCACGTCGACAGAGGTTGCCCAAGTGGTGAAGGAAGGTGGATATCGAGCTCTTCGCCAGTTGATTACAGATGCGCCCCTCGTGAAGGATGTCAGTTCGATTCAGCCTCTCAAGAAGACCGACTTTTTATTTGGCGATTCTGCCAAGGATCCGGATGCCGTGTTTATTGATGCTGAGCAGTGGCTTCATAAGACTGGCAGTTGTTTCATATATTTGCCGAAGATTCCTCGGCATCGTTCGTTGACTGAGCTCCGGCGTCTGGCTGTGACACGGGAGATGTCGTGGCGCTTGACGGAGGAGCATGAGAGCGTTCACTGCGGAAACATTACTCATCAGGCAGCTCCTGGTTCGAGCAGGAGTCACATCACTGGATTGCATCCTGGAGTATTGGGGTTAGATGCACCGCCACGTAACGAGCTTCTTGCCGCTGCTTCTACTTTGAAGAATCGCCTCGCTGCTTTAGGACGGGAGATGCCTGCGACACGCCACAGGTTTTATGGTTGGGTCCATTCTTTGGACAAGCTTTGGTGGACTCGCATGACGAAGTACGTCTTGAGCCGATGGAGCGAGGAGTTGCACGCTTGTGGTCTGTATGCAGCCGTTCGTGCCACTATGTATGGTTTGCCTGTTAGCACGAAGCATTTCTTCGCTTTGTGCGAGCTCTACAACCCGGATTCGAACATTTTTCTGACCCGGCAAGGGGAGTTGGGCTTGGCCCTCCATGAGATGCACAGGATTTCTGGTTTTCCCATGGGACAGATGTTATATCAGGAGTATTTTCCTTCCAACCAAGAATTGAGTCAGCTGAAGGATCGCATGCCCGACCGCTACGAGACTTTATGGGACCTCACATGTCACTATCATATCGCTTTGGCGCAGTCTGAACCCTTAGCGAAGAGGGCTAAATCCCATGTGAGCCAGAAGCAGTTTGCGTCTTATTTGTTCAGGAATCTAGAGAGCAATTCTGGCGAGGCTATTTGTGAGTTGGCACCACTCATTCCTTCAGGGGTTAATAATCTACTGAAGAAGGTTGATGCTCATTCCTATACCATTAGCAGTCCTGAGAGTGGTTTTCCTACAGGGACCAAGTTTAAAGCGTTCTTGTGGCATGCGACCGCGCCGATTCGACCGATGACCCTTCTTGCCGGTTACCTCGCTATCTGGTTAAAGAAATGCGTGGTCCCGTATCAGTCTAGTGATATCTTGCCATTGGAGGTGCTCTACCCAGCGGTTCATCTTGCCTACAAAAAGGAACTTTCGCTTCTTCCGGTGATGGTGGCTAACATTCATCGAGGGCTTCGACAGATTTCTAGTGCTTTTACACGGAAGGAAAGTGGACCACCGACTCAGATTCCTACCATTAAGGTGGAGCTTCCGTACACTTATTTGATGGCTTGGTTCGTCCTTCATCGTTCTGATATGATGTCAGTACCGTATGCCACAGACCCCTCCGCTCCCCTACTACAGCTGTTTGAGAATGGCAAGTGGGAGGGGCGAGGATTCCCTGACGTCAGACAGCAGCTACAGGTCCACAAGTGTTGGGCGTTTTCCACTTGCTTTCCACAGTTCTCCGGCCGATACGGCGAGTGTCTGATTGATGAGGAAAAGCCGAGGGGGGTATCGAACTCATTTAGACGTCGGCTGCTTTAACTGGCTGGTGAACATCAGGACCCACGGCGGTTTGGTGGACGGTCTTCGTGCATGGTTGTGGACCGTGACGGGCTGTACTGGTGCTAAGTTCAGTCTCCCGAGTACCGAGCGGCAGTTGAACCTTACCTTCTTAAGCTGTAAGTGGTTGTTAGCAGCTAATAAAACTGTCCCTGTAAAGCCGATTGCAGAGCTGGAGGCTGAGGAGGCTTCTCAGGCTGATTCTCGTATGATTTGGGAAAATGCTCGATCACAAAGGGCACGGCACAAGACTCGTCGGATTGACGAAGAGGGAAAGAAGATCTTTCATTCTGCTGATGAAGCTTCAGGCGGAGATCTTGAAGATCACGAGGACTGTTCTGATTGAGGTCAGTTTCTTACTTTTTCCCTTTATCTTTCAGAATTATTAAGCCTGACAATGGTTTGATGTTTCAGGGACCACAGCTGACCAGGATGAAGAGTTCCGTCCTTCTCCTCAGGCGGGACCTTCGATTGTTGCCCCTGCCGCTAGGCGGAAGAGATTAGCCCGCAAGCTGCGTGTAGTTTCACGAGCATCGGATATGGATTTGGCCGGTGACGATCCTGCTAGTGATGGAGGTAACTTCTACCCTATAGACCGTCCTCTTGATCATTCAGAACTTTGACTCACGCTTTTCCATTTCTATATAGGAGAGCGTGGGGAGAGCGAGATGAGTCCTGATCCCGTTTTCCACGATTCTACTTCTTCTGGTGAGCCCGACTCACCGTACCAGGTAGAAAGGCCTGCAGAAGCTGGTGACATTAGGGAGACCGTCGATGTAGGACCCGGTTCGATGAATCCAGGTACATCTACCATTAACAATACACAAAGGAGTTGAATGATTTGGAATTTGTGCATTCCCTAATTGTCTCTATACTTCTTGCTCTTTTAGATAATTCGCAGGAGGCAAACGTGGATCTTGGGAATAGAGAGGCTGACGCACCCATAAGAGGTAACTCATTTCTATTGGTCGTAGTCTCTTTATTCTCCTTTCATACTTATATTCTCTTTTGTCAGATTTCTCGATTGATGATTTTGAGTACTTATATTCTCTTGTGTCAGATTTCTCGACTGATGATTTTGACGAGGAAGGCTTGCTTGTGGACACTCCGATGCTCCACTTTATGTATGGCTCTCCTCAGATTGATGATCAGTTGCCTGGAGATGTATTTCCTGAGTCTACGCTCCCTAAGAATCCCGAGGATAGTTTTTCTGAAGGTACGTAGCTTTTCTCAAGTTAATTATAGGACTAGCCAATTTTTGACTAATACAACTATAATGTGATGCATCTGAAAATTCTATTTTGTATTTGACAGGAGCTTTTGT